GAGAGATACCCTCACCCCACCTTCCTCCTGTTGCGAACACAGGTTTGAGTCTGAGCCATCAAAAATGGAAGAGAAGAAATCAGTGTCTGGATAAAGTGTGCTAACTTTCTGAGACTTTTCACATACCATGAGAGTTGAATCTGTAGTCACTTGTATAGAGGTAATTGTTCTGATCTAAAAGAATACTACAACTTTTCTCTTCCTGAGAGGACCCAATGCTTACAGCCTGAACAAGGTCCCTAGGTTAAGCCCCTGAGGTGCAGGAAGCCTGGAGTAACTGTCTTCGTAAGCAGGCGGTGGAAGGGTGGAAGCTGGTGCCATCAGCATGCAGTGTGTGAAGAGGAATAAACTTGGAGACAAGTCCTAGAACTTGTCAGAAAAGCTGAGACATGCAAGGCTGTCTGGCTTCTGGAGAGATTTTATTTACCCAATAAAGTGTTGGAGTAAAGAGGAGACCTTTAAAGAGGGGAGGGGAAGGGGACAGCAGCCTCTGTCCCCTTTATAAGCGGGGAGAATAATTTTTCCTTGTAGCTCACTTAACTAGGAGTGCCTGGTAACTTGCATAAGATAATTCATTTGACTCTTATCACATCGTCCTAGGGCAAAGGGGTCCAAGGCATTTGCTTTTTACTGCGAGTCTTTTTTTTTTTTTGAGTCAAAGTCTCACTCTGTTGCCCAGGCTGGAGTGCAGTGGCACAATCATGGCTTACCACAGCCTCGAATTCCTGAGCTCAAGGGATCCTCTTGCCTCGGTCTTCCAAGTAGCTGGGACTACAAATACATGCCACCACATCCAGTTCTTTTTTTTTTTTTTTTGAGTTGGGGTCTTACTTTGTTGCCCAGGCTGGAGTGCAGTGGCGTGATCACAGCTTACTGCAGCCTTGACCTTCTGGGCTCAAGTGATCCTTCTGCCTCAGCCTCCCAAGTAGCTGGGACAATTGGTGTGTGCCACTATGCCCTGCTAATTTTCTTGATTTTTCTGTAGAGGTGAAATCTTGCTATGTTGCCTAGTCTGGTCTTGAACACCTGGGCTCAAACCATCCTCTGGCTTTGGCCTCCCAAAGTGTTAGGATTACAGGCGTGAGCCACCATGCCTGGCCCTGTGAGTCATTTAATAAGAAATCTGACTCTGTGAGAGAACATCTCATTAAAATAAAAATAAACATTGAAAACCTGAGAGAAAGACAAGAGAGAGTCCAAAGTGGAGATTAAGAGACTAAAACAGAAGCAGAAACTCAGGGGGAGACGGAGAGTGGTTGAGAGAACGAGCAAAACCAGATAAAGGCTGAGGGACACTAAGAGAAAGAGGGACTCAGAGGCCAAATGAGAGGGACTGAGTCTGGGCTTATTCATTCATCTGGTACTTACTGAGCACCTACTGCATGCCATACACTTTATTCTGAGCTGGAGACAAGCAGTGAACAAAATTTATATTCTGGAAGGAGGAAATAGACAATAAACCAACACACAAGTAAAATATATTGCATGCCAGATGGTGATACATGTTATGGGGGAAAATGAAGCCAGGATGGAAGATGTTGGGTAGATATGAGGCTTAAAATCAGGAGTTAGGAAAGGGCTCACTGAAAAGGTAACATTGAGGAAAGACCTGAGGGAGGTAAGGAAGGGGCCATGCACTATCTGGGTTTGAGCGTGTTCCCAGACAGAGGGGAGGGCATGTGCAAAGTCCCTGAGGCTGCAGTGATTAATGGGAAAGGGGTGAGAACCAGGTCAAAGTAATAAATGGGGTCAGCTCAGGCAGGGCCTTGTAGGCCACATGAGGACTTTAGTTTTTATTCTAAACGGAATTTCCACTGAGATTTGAAAGATAAGCAGGCCTGACACTCCTGGGACAGAATTGACTTCTGGGTTGCAGACTCTGGATTCAGTTCAATCATTTATTCAACGATCTCTATCATTCATTCCCCAAGCATTTTGGGAAGCCCACTTTACCCCAAGGCTTGTGCTGGGCACTGGAGAGACCAACATGGAAAAATCCCACCCCTCAGCTCTGGAAGAAGAAAATATTTCAGGGTGGGGTGAAGGCCTGTCCTCCTGCAGGTGGGGATAATATGGCCAATGTGATCCTGATAAGCCCTAAGCTTGGAGAACGAACGGGTGACAACTTGAGGAGGGGCTGCAGACAGGCAAGAAGGAAGCTTAGAGAATCTGTAAAGGTGGAGGTGGAGGAGAAAGGGGAGACCTCACCCCAATTTTCTATCTTTTCTGTGGTGTGAGAGGCCCTGTCTTCCCGCTGGCTTCAGCTCCAGGCTGGGCGGGGGAGAGGACAGTGAATGGGCCAGGACAGGTGGCCCTGACATGTGATGTGTGCTGGCTGACTACTACTTTTAGAACGGTTTCCAGAAGTGATGAGAGGGGATGGACAGGGCAGCTAAATATAGTCCTGGGGCCCTGGCTCAGTCTGGGAGTCTGTCCCCTGTTCACTGTTTGCCCGTCACGCGTGGTGTTCACTGCCAGCTGCTCCTGTTAGTCCCTTGTCCTTGCTCTGAGCCCGCTGCTTGACCCTCGCTTGTCTTTGGACACAGCCCTGATTCCCCTGCGTTTCGGCCTGACCCTGACTGGTTCCTGGGAGTCTCTTTTTGCCTAAGCTCTCCAACCAGACCTGTGAGTCCCTTGGGCCTGGAGATATGGGAGGAGGGGAGGGCTGGGGATCCTGGGGAGTGGTTGAGAGGAGAACTGAGAGGGGGAAATCTGGAGTGTCTGGGACTGGAGCTGAGGCCAAGACCTGGTCAGAGGCTAAAGTCTCTGGGCAAAGACAGTGGGTAAGACTGTGTGTGGCCCCAGGCTTGTGTTTTGGAACTGAGGTTGACACGGGCCCTGATGGAGCAGTTTTTGGGTTAGGGCTGAGAATTGCAGTTGAGACTGCCTTTGGGCCTGAGATTGACTTCTTTTTCCCTCTTGACCAGAACCGGATTCCTTTTCATTTTAGGATGTGAGGTCTTGATAGGACGGGGCTCTTCCCCGCAGAGCCCGCAGAGCCCGCAGACCCCGCAGACCCCGGCCGGGCTTGGGCTTGGGCTTGGGCTTGGGCTTGGGCTTGGGTGGGGAGCGCTGCCCCGCTGGGCCTCCCTGACCGACTCCTCCTCTACTCAGGCCCGCCATGTCGGCAGCGCCCGGCCTCCTGCACCAGGAGCTGTCCTGCCCGCTGTGCTTGCAGCTGTTCGACGCACCAGTGACAGCCGAGTGCGGCCACAGCTTCTGTCGCGCCTGCCTGGGCCGCGTTGCAGGGGAGCCGGCCGCGGATGGCACCGTGCTCTGCCCCTGTTGCCAGGCGCCCACGCGGCCTCAGGCGCTCAGCACCAACCTGCAGCTGGCGCGCCTGGTGGAGGGGCTGGCGCAGGTGCCGCAGGGCCACTGCGAGGAGCACCTGGACCCACTGAGCATCTACTGCGAGCAGGACCGCGCGCTCGTGTGCGGCGTGTGCGCCTCGCTGGGTTCGCACCGTGGCCACCGCCTGCTGCCCGCCGCCGAGGCCCACGCGCGTCTCAAGGTTCGGGACCCGGCTCGGGTCGGAGGGGACAG